AAACAAACAATTGCACTTGTTGACTAGCACATCAAGCTTTTATCGATAATATAGTTGTCAATAGTTTTTAATATGCTACCTACTTGGATGTAGAAATTTTTTATACTTTAACATGACTTAAAGTTGTTTTTATTTTGCACAACTTTCCTTGTATTGAAAAAAATTTACAAAAATTTGAATGGGATAGGTGTGTGCATCGTGGCATAAGAAGTTGGTCCAGATCATGCATGTGGGTCAAGCCTATAACATCAACAACAAACTTGTCCCACTAAATAGGTTGGTTACATGAATTGTATGATGCCATTGTCTATTACTTACTAAGCTTTTAAAAATGTTGTTAATTAATATATCTCTATTAATAACTTTTAAAAGTATTCTCTTTAGTATTCATCTACTCCTCTTAACTGAGATCAAAGTAAGCTATTTCACTCTTCTCACGGGTGTCTCTCATAGTCTTCTTCGTACATGTTCAAATTATCTTATATGCTTTTCTACCATTTTTCCCTTAATAAGTGCTAAGTGCCTACGCTCACTTTTTCTCGTATGTGCTTATTTTGAATATTATCTTTATGTGTATATCCGCATATCATCATAACATTCTTATATATGCTACTTTGACTTTATACTTTTGCTGTCCTGTTAAAGCTTAACATTCACTAATATATAATGCTATTGGTCTTATAGCAGTTTAATAAAACTTTTCTTTAAGTTTAGTGGGTACCTTATAATCACAAATAACTCCTTTAACTTTTCTCCAATTAAACCATATAGCTTGTATCCTATATATGATATTTCCATCAATTTTCACATCATGTTGAAAAATAGCTCTTAAATATCTAAACCTTTTCACTTGAGGTATGATTTGATCTCCCAATTTCACTTTCAAATTACTACTAACTAACTTCTTATCAAAATTATAATGGAAGTATTCTGTCTTACTCCTACTTGGACGAAAATCTTTTGACTCCAATGTCCTTCTCTATAATTTAAATTTACAGTTAATTTTTTCTCTTATCTCCCCAATATAAGAACTATATTATCCATGAAAAGCATGCATTTAGAGATTTTCTCTTGAATATGCTCAATCAAAACATTTAGGAGTAAGTCAAACAAATAAGGTTTAAAAAATGATCCCTTATGTAGTCTAATCCTTATAGGAAAGTCCTTTATTTCATCGACAGATATTTTTATATTAGTTGTTGCCCTCTCATAATATCTTTTATAGCTTTAATATAGGACACTCGAACTCCCTTCTTTTCCAAGGCTTTTTAAATTACTTCTTTTGGTACATGGTCATAAGCTTTTTTTAAATTAATGAGAATTATATATAAATCTTTACTTTTGTATTGATACTTTTCTATTAATCTCCTTAATAGATAAATCACTTATGCAGTCCCTCTGCCTGGCATGAAGCCAAATTGATTCTTAAAAATACTAGTCTCCAATCTCAACCGATGCTTAACCACTCTTTTTCACAATTTCATTGTATAACTCATAAGTTTAATCCCTCTGTAGTTAGTACAAATTTTAAAAATTCCCTTTATTTTTGTAAATAGAAATTAAGGTGTTTTTCCTCCAATCTCAGGCATTTTTTTATATCGTAAGATCTCATTAAATAACTTAATTAGCCACCGCATCCTTTTTTTACCTGAACCTTTTTACACTTTAATAGGGATATAATTAGGTTCATTGACTTTACCATTTATTATTTTTTTAAAAGCTTTCTTTACCTTACTATCACATATCTTTCGATAGAATGAAAAATTTTATTTTCCTACACGAGTTATTAAATCCTTCAAGTTACTAGATGAACCTCCATCATTGAAAGTTAAAAAAAAAAGTCTCCCATCTATCTTTAATATCACTATCAGTGGCCAAAACTCTTCCCTCCTTATCCTTTATGTACCTTATCTGTTCCAAATCTCTCGATTTTCTTTTCCTACTCTTAGAAATTTTATAAATTTTTTATTCTCCATCTTTTGTCCCAAGGCCATTAAGAAAATCTTCAAATGTTTTAAAATGAGCTTCACTCATGGCCTTCTTAGTTTCCTTTTCAACCGTGCGATACATTTTTCAATTTTTATCATTATTACACAAATGGATGGATTTAAAACACTCTTTCTTATGTTTGATTTTTTTTTCTATAACTATCATTCCACTATCAAGACTCCTTATCTCTCAAATTAAAACCTTTTATTTCTCCCAAAACTTTTGCAATCTTCCTTACCTTTTTAGCCATATTTTCTCACAAGATGATAGTATTTCCTTGGAACTCTCAAATTTCGGTCAAAAGATTCTGCTTGAAAATCTCTCTCTTCTCACCTTTTAACTACATCCACCTAAACCTCATAATTACCCCTTGTTGACACTTCTAATTTTTACCCATAATACGCATATCAAGGACAAGAACCCTATGTAATGTCATTACGGCATCCTCAGGAATTACCTTATAATTTTTACAAACTCTTCTATCTATGTTCCTTACTAAGGAGAAATCAATTTATAACCTTGAGGTTCTACTTTTGTAAGTAATGAGATGCCCATCATTCTTCTTGAAACAAATGTTGGTAATCTTGAAATCATATACCAAAGCAAATCAAGAATATATTGTCCTTTATTGTTTAGCTCCCCAAAACTAAAGCCACCATGCACTCTCACATAATGACCTTCATTCCTTTCAACATGACCGTTAAAATTTCCTTCAATACAAATCTTTTCACTTTATGGTATGCAACTATGCATTGAATCAACCTTTCTAAATCTTCCTAAAATAATTCCTTAAGATAGGCTTTTGCCTCAATTTGAGGTGCATAAGTGCTAATAATATTGACAGTCTTACATCCAACAACTATTTTTAAGGAAATAATTTTGTCTCTAATTTTATTAACTTCTACCACATTTTTCTTTCACTCCTCATCAACAATGATACCCACTCCCATTGCATGTGCTTACTTTTTCTATATATCAAATTAAAACCTTAAATATTCTTAGCTTATTTATCGGGCCATTTAGTTTCTTGTAGGTACAAGATTTAATTTTTCTATAAATCATAACTCTTACCACCTCCATAGATTTACAATTCAAGGTCTTAATATTTCAAATACTTCTTGCTTATATAGATTAACTTCTTTAGTCGTGCTCATCAAAAATAATGTGGTATCCCGTACTCATTTAACACTACATCCAGGTGCCGATGCAGCAGCTCTAACTCACTTGTCATTACACTCAAGCCATACAACATGTTACTTATAGATAATGACCTAGTATTAGTACAAAAACATTTATTGTCCATATCCATTTGAGATTCAACAAAATTTTATGCTGATAGTTGAGGGTCTAACACAACCCTTCTTTTTAACTCAAGTTTAGAAATGGCTATATAAGGTGAGCAAAGTTCATGTGGGTCAAGCCTAAACAAAATAAATTAAAAATAAAAGAAGGACTCTGTCAAGTGTCAATACTCAACAACCCTTGAAATGGTGCTGTGTCAACTCAACCCAACCTTATGTATACATATATGTAATTTTTATAAATATTGATTTTATAAGATTAATTTTTACGATACATTTGATATCATGCGATGCACTAGTTTGAGCCAAGTGGTTATAAATGCTTGTTCTCCTTAAATGAAGTCTTGAGTTTATGTTTGCGTGATTTGGTTTGAATTAGTCCAGGCTTAATGTAATTTTTTGAAATCAATTAATAATATAAAAAATAAATTATTTTGTGCTTAGCATGAAGACTTCACAGTTATATTACCAGAAAAAGGAGACTATTTTTTAAAATTAAAAACAAGAAAACTCAAAATTTTAATATTGAGAAAGGTGTTTTTATTAGAAAAATAAAAAAATATACCAACTATAATATATATATATATATATATATATGTTGGGTCGTTTGCAAACGCATCAAGTTCATCTTAGAAAATAATTCAGCCTCATTGCTCGAAATGGCACAGATCTAAATCTTGCAGTGAACTAAAACCTGATCGAAATATTAATTACTTGTATTCACTCCAAATAAATACATCAAGCCAGTGAAGAATAGACAAGTTAATGTAACTGACACTCATTGGGTGGGTGTATACATATATGCACGAATTTCAGTCAACTTGATTTTGCTGATAATGCATACTCGATAACTATGGGGATCCCAAAAGATTCTTCGCTAGCTGTGCAAACAAACACAACCCTGGATTCTTGTGAACGTCCATCTCCCAAAAATGTTTTTTTTTTTAATTAAAAACCTTTAGATGTAAGTCACGTCTGTTATATCATTTACACACAGCACTATCAAACAAGCCAGCATCAAGAATATAGTGAGGTCATAGAATCCCTAGACAGTGGCTACATGTCTAAAAGAAATTATTATTATTAACTTAATTAGTGATTACTCAAGAATCTCTTTTAATTTCTTCGGTCCTTAATTTACTGATATACTGCACAGCTTAATGCTCTAAGAGTTCGATCCCAAAAGTTGCACAAAAAAGTAAAACTGATATGTTTCTTTATTTGGTTTGATATTCCTGAAAATGACTGAGCCCAAATTGCATGGTTCGCGTACGTAACATGAGGACCCTTAGAGAACATGTGAAGATTCGAATAAATGCAATCACATATATGTTCATGCGATCCAAGACCTTATTTTCGACCACTCGCACACCAAAAAGAAAACGGTTCTTCTCCTGAGATTCAGCACCCAATTTATTGGTGAAGCCCAGCTGGTGTTTTCGTTTTCAATTAATATTATTGAATTAATAATCTAACACAGATCTGGACTACTTACCACCTACGTAACAAACTTTACATAGCCTAGGATAGGCCACAAATATTCATATCCAACATGTCTCCACAAAGATTGACATGGGCATTATTGCGCAATTTAATACTTGAATTGTGGTTACTGGGAAATCCTATTCAATTCGCGCGCGCGCGTGTGAAGAGAGCTGAAGCCAAATGAAGTGACAAAGATTCCATGCAAGCGTGTTGTGTTCAGTGATCTGCTTGTTTTACTATGGACAAAGGTGTAAGGATACAATATTGTGAAATTATACACAGAAAATCTTATCTACCCACAGAACTCACATGGCCTTAATGAACAGTCCCAGAAAGAAAACATAAAAAAATAGTGAAGAACTCTAAGAAAACTTGGATCTGGTGGTAAGTACTCAATTGGTTCACTTTCCAAGAAACTGAAAATCTTGATAAGGATTTTTCAATTTCAACCCATTGAAGCTAGCTAAAGAATTCGAGCTGGAAGCTCGGTTGGTGTCAAAATAACGAGGGAAAAAAAAACACCTAGTTTTCAACCCTCCTGGATAATTGAAATTTCTACTAGCACAAAGGAGGGGGGAAAAAAAGGCTTTGTCATATCTGTACAAGAAATTCCAATTCCAAAATAAATATAAATTTGGGATCTTTTTTCGAAAATAGCCCTACTCAACGAGGAACATGACTTCAAGATCGCAGCAAGAAGACGCTGAGTTCTTGACCAGGTGACTCGTCTGGGTTAATGAGATGAAACGATTCGGAATCTGCGCTTCCCACCACGTGCTCGTAATTAGCTCTCATATACATAAGCTCTTCCGATACCGAATCCGTCTTCAAGCCAGACGGTAAGACTCCGGCTCCGACTGACACGCACTGCATCGTCTTCAGAATCAGCGTGACCCTTTCGCTTGGTTTCCTCTTTGCCGCAAACCCGACTTTCCGCCCGTTGCAGAACATGGTCCAAACGGGTACTGATCGGAGTGGGCAGGATTCGAGTCCGGATCTGTCGCATTCGAGAGCTATTCGGACCAACCCGAACCGCATTTCTTGGACCAGCTGGTTTGTGAAGATGGAAAGCTCGAGAAGCAGAATAGGTTTAATAGATAACCGATCGTGCTGGACGCAGAACCAGACGTGGCCGCGGCGGTTGCCGAAGATGGTTCCGATTACCATCGATTTCGAAGGCCGCGGGGGTGCGGCCGAGGCGGCGGTGCCGATGGAGTCGGAACTGGAATCTTGATCTTGATTACAGGTTCCTCTGGCGTTCGTTTTCTCGTCTGCAATGTCGTCCCGGAGAGAGGTGCTGAGGCGTTTCTTGGGTGTGGCGGAGGATGCGGGGTTGGCGGCGGAGTGTGAGGGATTGGCGACGGGGGAGTCGGCGGAGTTGAAACAGAGGAGGAATCGACGAAGGACGTCGATGGCCATTGAAGGAATGAAGTTGGTGAAGGGAATGAAAGCGGATAGGATTGGAAAGGAAGAAGAGGGTGGGGACCGAGGATTGGGGACGATGAAGGCACGGTCCGTGCCCACACACACACTATATATATATATATATAATGGAGAAAGATAAAGATGGGCGGGAAGTAATATAGCCGTTAGAATTCGGAATGAATTCTGCTTCTTTGGATTGAGACGAAGGCAGGGTCAGGGGGTCAGATGCATCAGACGAGATTGATGTGATGCGAGTGAGACTCAAGTATTAGCACTTTCACAATACACATCTTTCTTTCCCTCCATATTTTGGGCGCACTATAATATGCCTCAACTTTTAGCCTGCGTTTGGTAAATTAATTTTTCACATTTTAAAAGCATTTTTTTAATGTAAAAAAGTTGTTTGAGGTAAATTTTTGAGAGCAAAAAAATTTTAAAAAAAGACTTTTATAATGGGCTCAAATGTAAAAAATTCAAAGCTCCATCTAGTAACTTTTAAAAATTAAGATATTATTTGATCATACTATTTTAAATTTAATTTTTTTTATTTAAAAATTAGTAATTCATTAAAAATATAATTATCATTTAAATAATAATAATAATAATAATAATTAGCTATCAAGTTTTTAACATTATAAATTAAATAATTAATCATGTTAATTTTTAGCATTAATGTGTAATATAAATTTTTATTACATTTTTTAAAATTACAAATTAAAAAGGTACAAATAATTAGAGATCAAGTTTTTAGCATTATAGATCAAATTTTATATTATTTAAAATCTTTATCACATTTTTTTAAATATTTTAAATATATTAGATTTATATAATAAAAACTACAAATCATCATAAATTAATGTCCTTTTTTATAATTATACATTCAAAAGCATATTTTACTATTATAATTGAAAAGACTTTTAATTTATTAAATTGATTTTTTTAAAAAATATATCTAAATATAAATTTTGTTACAATAATTGATTTTTATTAAATTGGCTTTTGCCAAATGAATTTTCCACAAATGGACTTTGACAACTAAAAATTAAATACACACTAAATTATAAGCTAAGTGTATTATTTTATATATTAATCATATATAGCATGTAGTATATTTAATTTTCAATTGTATGATTGTTAATACATATTACTCTCTTCAGTCTTTAATATAAGACACATCTAATTATCTTATTAAAATTAAAGAGATGTGGTTAAATTATTAATTTTGTTTAAAAATTGAATAAACTTTTAATTTTGTCCCCATTTAAATGAAAGATTTTTAAATTTCTATTATATTTTCTCTTATAGTTAGTGTATTTAAATAGAGGCGATATTAAAAAAATAATTAATATCCCATTGAATATTTTATATTAAGAACTAAAAAATCTTTCTAGAAAGTGTTCAAGGGAGTATAATTAGTGAGTGATATTGAAAAAAAAATTAATACCCCATTGAATATTTTATATTAAGAACTAAAAATTTTTTTTAGAAAGTGTTCAAGGGAGTATAATTAGTGAAGTTTTCTTGCTTGTTAGCAATATAATGCTGATTAAACATTGCAAATATATCTCTGACTCAAACTACGTGTCACTTATCTCTGACTATTGATAAATTACAATTTTTTTGGCCAACTATTAATAAATTACAATGTCACCATAGAATCTGCACTGAATTGAGGTGATGAAGGCAGAGATAGATGAAAAAATGTCAATACAGGCTATGGGCTGCACATCTTATTACGCATGCATAAACTTTTTCTATCCTTTTACATGGCTGCCAGATTAATTCTTATGTCCTAATGAGAGATGCATTCGCTTTAATTTTCACTCATTTTTATGGCTTTTTGTAATAAAATTAAATTAATTTTGCCTCCTTTTAAGTCTCATCGTCAGATTATATTGCAAAATACTCTCTCGAATTTTATTTATAAAACATCTTTTAAAAATAATTTTTAATTCAAAATATATAATACATGATAATAATTAAATTATCTTTTTTTAATTTTATTCTTTTTTATTAACGTGAAGGTATTTAATAGTTGTATTATTAGTTAAAATTAAGGATAAAAAAATAAAAAATATCTCTCACTTTTTTATGATATTTTTAATATGGATAACAGTTGAATATCTCCCGTAACAAGCACAGAAGGAAGTATAATTTAACGTAGAAATCTCAAGATGACAGCAGAAACTCTTTTCTTCTGTCCTTTTCACTGTTCTTTAACGAGATTTGATTGTCACAGATGACAGCATATTAAGGAACAAGACAAGAATATTTCTTTCTTAGCCCCTAACAGGACATGAGGGAAAAAAGAGGGCCAAATTGTGAACTGACATGTTTCGTATTCTATCCTGCAGACATTTAGCGGCATCGGATCATTATCTATCTTGTTCCTCTTTCTTCACTATCTAGTTGTTCATCAACACTGTGCCTAATTGGAAGCACCTTACTGCATAGAAAATGACGAGCAAACAAAAGAAAATAAAACAAGTTCAGCGCTCCAATAACAGCAATGGTGTAGTAGTAATACTCAAGCCTATTCTTGTTCAAATCATTCCCACCCAACCATGGCTTCCTCCCCTTCAACGACGTCGTTGCTTTGATCACTTCAATCAGAATCGTCGTCAAATAATTCGCTATGGACAGGCTCAGAAAGAACACTGCACCACCTATTGCCTTCATGTTCTCCGGCCAATACGATGTCAATAGCTCCATCATGGCTATAGCAGCGAAGGCTTCGGTCAACCCAGACAGTGTAAACTGTGGAACCAGCATCCACATGCTCATCGGTGATTCAAACGAACCGCGTTTCAACGCCGATTCACGTCGTTCAACCTCTACAGTCCCTGAAACGATCATGCAGATGATGGAGAAAACGATTCCAATCAATATTCTGTGTTCTATGGACAACCTTCTGCCTCCTGCGAAGGCCTTTTGAGCCCAAGGGATGAATATTTTCTCGTAAATGTAAATCCAAATGGAAAGTGAAATCATGGGCACTAAGCCCAACCATGCAGGTGGCACATTAAAACGATGGTTTCCCACTGATTTATGCATTTGGATTGCTTGAAGGATTCCGAAAGACCCTGTTTGGGTCATAGAGAGGAAGCAGAAGATTCCCGCAACCCAAACAGGTATGGTTCTTAGTATAGCTTTCAGTTCTTCCACTTGCTTAACACTACACAATCTCCAACCATCCCTGGGTTTTCCTTCGTCGTTTAGTTCATTTGCGTCCAAAATCACAGAAGCTTTATCCAAACACGTGAACCTATCCGTGCGAACGACGGTTATCTTCGGGTCTGTCGGAGGTGGATCGTAAAAGGAAAGTTCAGAATATGTGCCTATATTCACATGCCGTTTTCTACTTGATGCTACAATCACCTGAAACAAAACGATGATTCAGAACATAATTCAAAGGTTCATCTTCATCATGCTAATTATAGGAAGATCGATCTATCACCTTCACGAGGTCAACGATGACGCTGCCTTTGGGCTTCATGCGAATGTAAGTGTTACGACCTAAAAGGAAAAGTACTGTGGAGATTGCGAAGCAGGCCGTCGGAATGGCGAAGCCCAAGAGCCAGCTTACGTTTGTTTGAATGTAAACGACGAGGGTGAGAGCTAAGAGGAGGGCTACGGTGAACAAAAAGTACCACCAGTTGCAGAAACTCTCGAGCTGAGCCCGCCCTTTCTCTGTAGACACGTCAAACTGATCTGCTCCAAAGGCAATATTACAAGGCCTGAGCCCACCAGAGCCCGCAGCCATGAGCCCAAGACCAATGTAAAGGACTGCGAGTTGTGGGCCCGTGGGCTGAATGCAATCAGTGGGGACATTGCAGGCCGGAGGTCTTAAGGATGGCAATCCTGCACCCAGCGACACTAGCGCCATGCCCTGGTAAAAATGTGTAGGACATGTTCATTCTGATCTTAATTATAGGCAATGTTTTATCTACTAATTAAAAAAAAAGCTACGATGGTTAACTTTCTCCCTAACATCATCCCTCTTTAATTGCATAACAAGTTATTGGCATGCTTTTGAATTTTTATATAATATTTTATGATGGTCATTAATTTTAGTGAATAGTAAAATTGGGAAAGTCAACATTTTCTTACAAGTTTAAAGTATCAGTTTCAACTTTTTAAGAATCGTAAAATTAATTAACTTTGCTTTTATGATGAGGATTAGAGGGAGTAATTCTTTTCTTTTTATTCAATTTTTCTTTTAAAAGAATTTACAAATTTTCTTGCTTCGGAAGATTTTAGTTCATGAAGGATATGCACAGAATTATTTATGATTCTCTGCAGGGAACTATCAATATGCATTGAAGAGTGACATGAATGAGTATATATGTTTATGGAATTTACTTTTCTTCCTTTTTCACATGTTAATATTATTGTTTATTATATATATATATATATATATTATTTTTCTTTTCTAAATTCAGGCTGCATCTTGGAGACGAGTGGAGAGGATTCATGCCTCTAATTGTGCACTTTATGCTATATATAATTGCTGGAAAAAAGCTGTAGTGTTTGACCAATTACTAAATTAAAAATAGAAGCTCAATTCAGAAGAACAAAGACAAGGTTGAATAATCTAATTAGAATTTTTTATTACTGAGATTTTTCTTTACAAAAAACAAAAGAAAAATTTACCAGAAAAGATGCGATGAGGCCAAAGAAGAGCATGTGGTACTTTCCCAGATAAGCATCAGCAACGTAAGCACCAAGTAGTGGGAGAAAATTGCTAAAACCAGACCAAATACTGAAAACCTCTGCAGAGTATGTGTTGTCTAAGTTGTATTGGGTATGCAGATACACCACCAGATTTGCTATCAAACTCATTGCAGCTAACTTCTCAAATGTCTCGTTCCCTTCATTTCAAATCAACACGTATATTTATCATTAACAATAACAACACAAATCTCGTTCCCTTCAATTCAATTCATGACAAAATCATATCAATAATGGAAAACTAGAATGATAAAACATGCATGAAAATCATCAATTGATGAAGAAAAGGCAAATCTAGGGTTTACCAAGAATGTATTTGACAGCTCTCCATCCTCCATGTTGGTTGGAGGAGGAAGGAGGAGGAAGATGGGCTGAAGAATCACTGCTGCTTTCTGACATGAATTAATGATTTCTCTTCTTCTACTTCTTCTTTACAAATCTTTGCTCCCACCCTTCCTTCCCTTCCTTGATCGCTGCGGTTCTGATGTTTTTATATTTGTCTGTTCCTGACAGCAAAGACTTTCCATTTTAGTCATGTAGGTTGTGATGTATTGTTTTCACAATACTTGTATCTTATAAATCATACTTGAATTCATATTCCAATTTAGGAGAAACTCTTTTGCCATTTTTTTTCATATGCGTTCTATTAGGTTACAAATGATTTATGTGAGTCTGCCCAATCACTTTCCCTATCGTACATACACTTGAACACTTGAGCACAGAATTAGGGCGAAATATTGATGTATTCTATGATAAAATATTGTTTTTACTACCCCATGAAAATGCTTAGAGAAGTATATCTTTTCTTACCATCTCTCTCACTTTCGCAGGGGCTTTATATTGATAATGATATATATGAATTGATGATATTAATAATGATACACACACAAATTGATGATAGGTACTCCTCTAGTTTTAATTATACGTTATTTTTAATATTTTTTATTGGAAGAAAAATACGAAAATTCATTAACTTTATTTAAAAATTTAATAAGTTCTTAACTTTATTTCAATAAAATATACATACTTTAGTAATATGTTTTCTTTTTCAATATTCAATAAAAAGGTAAAAGAAAAAAAATTGTGATAAAAATTTAATGATATAACTTATAAATAGAAAAAAAAAATCTTCTATTCTACCATGTAAATTGGGCCAAAATGATTATATTATAAGCTGATTGTTATTTATAGGTGCATGATAGATATAATGAATATGTATTTTCAAAAACTGAAATGAGGATAAAAATTGTAAAGCGCATTATATTTGTATACTTTTTTCTCAAAAAATTATTTTCACAAATTGAAACTTACTTGGATGATATAATTTAAAAGTAGGTTAAGATATATAATGATTTAAAAGGGCTTTGAATTTTGTGGCATATTTTATATGAATATAATTTCATAACTTTAAGTAAGAATATTGAAATTAAAATTATAAAATAAAAAGGAGTTAATATATTATTCAAAATATTTGTAAATAGTAAAAAATATTTTTATTGTATAATTAGATTTATTTAATAAATATAAATATAAATATATAAACTAAAAACAATAGAAATTCTAAAATGAATTACACCATTTTTTTTAAATGTTTAGAGTTAATGTTTAGAATTTAGATTTGTTCAGATCAAATAAAACATAAGCCTAACATCTCAATCCAAACAGTACTTGATATATATATATATATATATATATATTAAAGAATATAACATGTTATTAAAGAGTTTTTTTTCAAAAATATCTTGATACATAAATTAAGTAGTCCTTCTTTTTCAAATTAGACATCTTATTAGATAAGAATAAATATATAAAGATAATCTTAGTTTTAAGATAATTAATTAACTTATTAAATAGTGTGAAATATTTTTTAATAGAATAGTATTTAATAAAAGAATTGGCTGGTCTTTGATTCATTCACCATGTTTTGTGGCTTCAACTTCAACTTCTAATTTACTCTTTTTGTTTTTTTAAATACGAAAATAATCATTTGGGGTTTTAATTTTGATTTTTAGTAGCACTCCATTCTTACTTCATTTTTTTTAAATTAATTTTTTAACCCTTTAATTTTTAATTCACTTGTAACTTAGTTCCTCAACTATGACTCGTTGCAACTCAATCCTTCAACTTTTGATTCACCCCTAACTTGATCCTTATTTTTTAATTTTTTTTAAAAAATTTCTTATCAAATAAGAGGGATAAAAAAATATTCATATGTTATTTTAAAATACCCTCATCTTGCTCATTGATATGAGATATAAGCTCACATAAAAAAAAGTTAACAAAAGTTAAGGGACTAATTTGTAAGTGATTTAAAAATTGAGAGACTGAGTTATACGCGAGTTATATTTAAAAGATTGAGTCACAGCGAGTCATAGTTGAGAGATTGAGTTATAAGTGATTTAAAAGTTGGAGGATTAAAATATTAAATTTTTTTTAATAAACTTAAATTTTAATTTTAATTTTAAATTTTTTAATAACAGCGTTCGATTTTAATTTTAATTATTCTGAACCCCGAGCTTAAGAGTGAAGGCATGAATAACGCGCTTCCTTTCCCCGACCACACTGCTGCCGTGTATGTGTATTGCAGTTATCCCTTTCATTGTTATCAGATTCAGGAGCACACAATCGATTGCTTGGTTGCTAACCGAATTCTTCGTCAACATCCATTCTTCACTTCAAATTTCAGTCTCCATATCATTTTTCTTCCTTCTCCAAACGGATTTTCTTCGTTAGGGTTTTGCACACATGGATTGGGGAAACGTCACGGCTGAGGATTTGATCGACGCCCTTCGTGAAGTGGATTGGTCGTCGCCACCTCGCCCTCTTTCAGAATTCTTCTCCAGATTCTCTGTACCTAAATCCTACTCTAGATGGAATAGCCGCCTCAAATGCAATCTCTACTAGTAAGAGTCCTTTGTTCTTCTCCACAACTTCATCCATCAAAATATTATCGGTTAATCCTTGTATGCACACGTTTTTGTCTTAAATTTTATAAAGGGGACTTCTTAGATTAATCGTTAAATTTTTCCTGTTATCAGGGCTCTGGTAGTTTTGTTCTTTTCGAAGTTTTATCAGAATGCCCAATTTGGCATGGCCATGCAGCATTTCTTTAGACTTTGTTGATTCGCCGTATTAGTTCATTTGTGATTACAAGTTTAAAGGAAGCATTTTGAAATTAGATGGGAATCAGTGGAAGAAATGAAAACTTGTAATTCCAGCTTGACTGTTAACTTAAATTGATTAAAAGACACATAAGCTTCGTAGAGCTAGAAATCAGATTTATCGTCTTCCCATGGAGTTGATCACGTAACTGATATCTGCTTAAATAATTTTCTGCTAGGTTCGATTTTTTCAGCATCCTATTTTTCTTGGCTAGCTTAGATAATAAAGATGGGATAAGGAATGAGTAGTATTCAGGGATGTGAGAAAAGATATCTTATAAGGATGAACGTATATGCTGATAAGTTAATATTATTATTATTATTTTTTTGGTGTCCAATAACTTGCTATAGCCAAACTGGGCTGTAGTTTCCTCCACAATCCCCACCGACCATTTAGGGATGGTTTTGTTATTGTGTTTTCAATGATCTCCACTGTCCAAATCTATAATTAGAATTACTATTTTTATTAATTGTCTGATAAATAGCATAGCATATAGAGCACAATGGCATCTTGCAATTCATGTAGCCGACCCCACCTAGTGGGATAAAGGCTTGTTGTTGTTGTTGTCTGATAAGTAGCATGCTTTTGCTTGCATTTGCAGTTACAGGACCAACTATTTCATGTTGATTGTTTCTGTTCTCAGTAAGTTAAACATGGTGAACATTGTTTTTTTTTTTTTTTTAATTTTCCCCAATTGACATATGACTCTCTGTCTCAACATTCACATTTTGATTTGTAGTATTGGGATTTCTTCGGAGGCCGGTTGCTATAGTAGCTGCATTTCTTACAGCACTAAGCCTTGCTTTTCTTAATGACAGGTGAACAATATAACTGTTTCCCTTTCTATATTAAATGACATCACTGGTTGAATTTTACTTGCAAACATCGATCTGTATGATATTTTAATGAATGCAATCATCCTCTTTTCTTTCTTGGTGCAAGGGGCATAGGAAAAAGTAATATGTAGATAGCTCTTTTACTGCAAGACCAAACCACATTGTGCTTCCAATTATAAAACAATGTATGTTGTTGTTTTACTTAGTACTCATAGCCTTTTGGTGCAATTTCATAAAATATGTAAATTGAGATAGCTAAACTAGATGATGATTACTTTAGTTTTAAAATTTAATTATATGGGGTTATGAACATTTAAACACGGTGGGAGAACAGTTGGAAAAGCATGGGGGAACTAACCTAAATGATTAGGATTGTATTTCAATTTTATCTTTCAAATATCTTATTGCATTGGGACATTAACATGTGCGTGCTATAAGGAATTTTTTTAGGTTGCATTTGGATGGGTGGATTTAAGTTGGAATTTGAATTTAAAATCTCACATTTGAAATTTATAGATTCTATATTCTTTATTTGGATAATATAAAAAATTTTAAATTGTAATATTAAAATCCTTTGTTTGGATTTAAAGTAAAATTTTAAATTTTAAATTCTATATTTGAATTTAAAAGAAATTTGGACGACTAGTCAAAGTTGACAATCTGAATGGCCAACTTCTACTAAGATCAGACAGTCAAAGGCGATTGGGACTATAGCACTAGCGGTGACTGGGACCAGACTTACACGACGACGTAGACCAGACAGTCGACTGTCATTGAGATAGGACTGGCGACGACAACTGAGATTGGAGGGCGGACTTCCACTGGGATAGGATTGATGGTGACAATTGAGATCGAAGGGCAGCCTTCCATTGGGATAGACAGACGGCAATGGTGGGAACCGGACGGTCGGCTTTGACAATGACTGAGACCGAATGGCCGACTTTGACAGCGACGACCAAGACTGGACTGTCGACTTCCACTGGTATTAGACTGTCAACTTCCATCGGGACTGGAATGATTTGGCGATGACCCAATAGAAGTTAGCCATTCGATCCTGATTGTAGCTATCTGTCCGATCCTCGTGGAAGTCGGCCATTTGGTTCCCATCGTCACCATCGGTCCGATTCCCAATGGAAGTGGGGTGTCCAGTCCTAGTCGCCGTCAGTCCAGTCTAGGTGGAAGTCGGTCATCCCATCCTTGATTGTCAATATCGGTCTAGTTCAGGTGGAAGACTGTCGTCTGATCCTGATCAATGGTGGCGTCTTGTTTCCGTCAACTTTAGCAGTTTGGTCCAATTCTGTTGGTAGGCTGATCAAGCCTTTTTGGATTTGTGTCAAATTACAAAAAAGATTGAGTTAAAATTTGAAATAATAAAGGTTTAAAAAGGATTTCAAATTATAAAGAGATTGAGATAGAGCTTGATATATTTTTTATTATCTAAACAATAGATTTGGCTCATATCTATATTCATATGTATTCAAATATAGCGTTAGGGAAAATAGCAATCAAAGACTGCTAGAGGAAGTTTATATCAATCAAGAATCAGTTGTTGTTAAAACCCAAATGGAAAACAAGCTCGAATAAACTACTGTTAATTTAAATTTAGTTGTTGTTAAAACTCGAATGGACACTTGTTGATAAAAGATCATTCAAGTTTTGACAAAAAGTGATTTTTAACTTATATAAATTTCTTCCAGCGATCCTTGATTGATATTTTCCTATTCTTTTATCTGGGAAGAGGAACTCTTGTAACATGAAAATAATGAATTTATCTTGTCCATTATCCAAGCATATAGGAACTATTTTAGGCCTTATGTAATTCACTTAATGAGGTATGGCATTCAATCCTCATCCAAATAAGATTTGGAGGTCTCTATGTGCGTGTTATAGAAAAACTAGACTGTTCTTGATTCCTGAAGTTGGGTGGTTGGGGCAGGTGGTATTTTTTTCTTTAATTTGGCATTGTTATTGTTAATGTTTCAACACTTATGACTAAGATGCTGTTTATATTGATTTGCCAACAGAGTTAAGAGTGGCAAGCTTTATGAGCAAAAACAAGTAACATGAAAATTTAGTCTGGTTTGGTGGTACACAATGTATTTTGTATCTATAGCAACTGGCAAGAATGTCTGAGGACATAAGTTAATTACAGTAATGAGTAATGCTCTTTAATGCTGTTATTTGTAAATGACTGCATGGATCTTAATTTAATTGAAAAAATTGTTCGCTGTGAACACATTGTTACATAAAATATAAATCATCTTTTCATTTGACGGGGGTGGGACTTTGAGTTTTTTCATGCTTTGTTTTGTTAGATCTTTTGTGTACCATCATTTTTGCCTGCATAAAGCATTTGACTTTTCCCTCTTTAAACATTACTTTCTTAATTGTTGTGTAACTGTGATTCTTAGTTTGTATCTCCTTTTGCTTCATTTCATCTTATTTGCTCTGGTTCTACTATGACAAAAGCATTAGTCTTTGGTCTTTACTATTTCTAGTGCATTGATCTGATTGAGAATTCCTTGCAGCTTTGCAGCCACCTTCAGCGAGAAAGTAACACGGACTGTTCGGCAATTTTCACCACATTTGGCAGCCAAGATGAGACCTTCCCATACGTAAGTTTGTTAGGTTTGTAGTACCTTTATAAAGCATTCATTGTTGGACAACACTAATTAATCAAATTGCAGGCCGGTTATTCGTGGGCGCCCATCCGGTAGGAGAGCAATACACATATGTGGTCAACCTCGTTGGGTGTTTGTCTTGATATTTTCCTTTGGTAATTGGGGTCATTGAAATAAATACCCATTTTCTTTCATTTATTGTTTTGGGGATTGTCCTCAATCCTTGCTTTTTACTTGCCTTTCTGATTTATGTCAGCTGCACTAATTCTTCTTTTCCTCCTTTTTCTCAGCAAGCTTCATCCTATGGTTTGTTTCTTGTGGTCTCCTAACTGTCCTATGGGCTCTTGCTATTGGTCTTCTTGGTACATTACATACTCAGAAATTTTAATCTTTAATCCTGTCCTGCTAGCGTATATGTTCTTGTTTTGAAGTTGATCACTCTCTCTATTCAGCTACCATCATGCACGCAAGTTTTAGAACTCCCAACTTGAAAGCACGCCTAAATACATTCCGTGAAGAATTCCGTGCAGTGTGGCGCAATTACAGTGAGCTGTAGCTTGAATGGTGTGTCCTAGATATGTGAGTGCTTTCTGCCTTGACATTTGCATAATTGTATATGGTCTTTGATTTAGTAGCTTTGGGTTTGCATGCTAAGTATATGAAGCACAATTCCATCTCGAAGTGACTGACAAACATTTAAGTTTTTAATTTATAGAATGGGAAAGCCTTATTTTAAAATGTATATTATCAATTAAAGTTCAGTCTTAGAAATATTAAATTATCGCTTTTCCTGGATAATGTGTAATACTTTGAGTAATACGAATGTGAAAACATGGAGACAACAATTTACATCATCACTAATCCATAGCTACAAGTGTGTTCTTGATTCTCGAAAACTTCAGTGATTGACTGGTGGTCAATATTTTAGAACCCTTTTAGGAAGGGCAAACTTGGAATAGGAATCTACTTACATTTATTCGAGTCCACTGACTAGTTTCTGCATCTCAGTTTGGAGGTGTGGACACGTGATCCTTTGTTGGCATTTTTAGGAGTATATGTAATTGCGCGACACTTTGCAATTTGCATCTTATATACTCAATTTTAACAAATAGCGATGTTCTTTCATCTGTGTGCCAACTTAACATTTTTGTGATTTAGATTGATTGCAAAACTTCACATCTTTACTGTTGTAAATGTTGTTGCAGGGGTTGATGAATTTTAGATGGAAAGTAATTTCTTTTCGCTGGGATGGAGCTGTTTGGGAAAGGCTGCCAATCATTGCAGATCATAGCTGATTGTAAAGTGTCAAGAATCTTATTTTTTGTAAAGTATATCTTTGTCATCTTCAATTATATTAAGTGGAAGTAGTGTTAACATTTTATACATGCCGTTAGTTTGACATGGTCACTGTAGTGTAGATTCTTGATTACTTCTATCGTATTGGAAAACGAGTGACACAATAAATTTCTTTTGGAAGAATTATAATTAGTTCTCACACAAAGAAATTAATTACTGTAAGATTCATTGACAATTGAATTAAACTGCATTGACAATTAGTTGTGTTGTCAATACAGTTTAATTTAATTGTCGATGAATCTTGTAGTAATTAATTCCCTGAGATTTCAATATAGCTGTCCCATCTATTTTTCCCCCTTGTAGGTATCCTCATTATTCACTTCACTCTTATAATAAGCATTACACAAATCGCCTATAAAAGAAACGAACACATAAACTTGTATCTTAGGAACAGCTTTGTCAAAGTTCAATGAAACTGGCAAATTACTTCCTTGGTAACTAGTTCGAGCTGGAAAGCTCAAAACCAAGGTCTTGAGGAGTTTTCTGCAGAAAAGAGAAGCCATACATCATCACTTTGAGCAAATCCTAGGTGATGGGGAGAAAAGGGTCTTTGGATTATTTTGAACAGACGTTACTTCTGAGAAAAACATCATTCAAACACTTTATGACAAAATCAATTTTGTCCAGAATCAGGTTTGCAAAATCAATTTTACCCAAGTTAATTTTGGGTGAATCAAATCCAAAGACACATAAGACTCGTTTTACGCCAATGATTATTGAAGGTAGCTGAAAGACAAGTCAAACTTGGCTGTCCAGACTTGAGAGGGAAAGCTCCAACTTCACGTTTTATTTGGGTACTCCTGAAAAAATACACCTAAATAAACTATTAACAATATATTATATTTAACTTTTAATCAAATCAACAAGAGATGAGTTTAGTTTTGAATTCTTTTTGAAAGATGTTTTTACATTTCATGATTGTATTTCAAATAGAATTGTCTCCATAGAACAATATCTAAGCAGTAATTGGTAATAAAAAAGCTTTAAATTATAGAAAAGGTGGTGTTCTGTTAGATTATTTTTGTGAAACATCTAAACATTCTTTTTTGGTAGTTTATACTTTATTATTTTGCATAATGTTGCTCGTATTTATGATGTTCGACAACCGGGAGAAACAGAGTTGTACTGCATAAATGTGACCAATTTTTTTGGTTGATAGAAATTTTTTTTTTTTTTTTTAACACTGACAAGTGGATCAAAGTAACCTACCCTACCATGAGTCCATGACAGTATATCTTTCGGTGAAAAAGTAATGTTTCGCTGTAAAACGTTCTAATAAACATCCTCTTCCCGCCTAAGCCGTCCGACCAAAGAAGAGCAGCATCATACTCTTTTCCCAGCTCGATCGTTTAATTTCTTAAACTTGAAGGCAAGTGAGAGAACAAAGCATCATACCAGAACGATCATGACAAGAAAGTACAAAAACATAAGACAAGCAAAAATAACTGCATTGAAACTTCAAACATCTGGAATCAGACTATGTATATAATTACAGACTTACAAAGACATGGATACTTTGTACATAATTCACAAAGGAACGAAAAAAATTGAATACAACAAACTTAAAAATATTCTGTGTATACAGCAAGCGTGCACCAATGTCCCACCCTTAGAAGGAGTTTTTCAATATTCATTCCTTAGTTAACATCATCTGTACGATCGAACTCGGGGGTAAAATTGGTGGGAGATTTCAGAAGCTCAAACGCAGGCATGGCCACCGCCGTCACAGGTGCAGCCGCCGGTGCCAGAAAGGAGGTCGGGATTATGCTGAGGTTTGGTGGTGAGACAACAGCACATGAGAGCGACCAACAACATGAAGCCCCACGCAGAAGCCAAAGCCTGAGCCCACCTCAAGTAGTGCTCCATTTTTCTCTTTGATCTTTATAAGCTCCTCTCATCGTCTCTGCTTCTGAACCATATATTTCCATTGTATATGTATATACCTCTTGGAAAAGAGAATAATGGCATCAAGCAGCTGAGCTAGCAAAGGTGATCAGATCTTGAGGCGCACATGGGCTGACTTTGAGCTTGAAAGAGCCTCAAAAAACATGGGCTGGCTAGCCTCCGACACTAACAAATTAAATTCAATTACTTCTTTATTAATATATGTGGCCCAAAAATTGAATTTAAATATATAATATCGAGGTGAACACATTTTATGTTGGACATGTCGGATTGGGTTTCCTCCTGGTGCGTGCTCCCTCACAGTCTCCCTCCTGCAATCACACGAATATATGGGTTTGAACATGGACAAACCGGGTCCGGACATATCTCTCTAGCCAGAATATCAATATTTTCCTTCCCTCTCTTTCTTTTTATTTTTGATTGAAGAAATATATTCATAATTAAAATAAAATTATGTCAAGGATATATGACTTACTGAACTGCTTTCATCATCTACCGCCCCTTATGACAAAGGTAGAAATAATCAAAAGTGCAAAAGCTTACATTTTTTCTAATATTGTTTTTTCTGCACCCACTTGATGGAAAAAGGGTAAAAGAGACATTTGGATAAGCTTATAAATGGAAGAAATATGTTGAATTCAATATGGAAGGGGGAAGAGAAGGAGGGAAAAAAAAAAACAGGAAGACGCTTTTGTTTGAGATTGGAATATCTTTTCATGAGCGAATTGTTCAATAAATTTAAAAATTAATGAAGATCATAGAACAGTGTCATTCCGAGGGCACCCAATTAAATGAGCAAAAAACATTGGAAGAATCAGTAAAGATACACGTCCACAAAATAAAAAGTTGCCATTTGATTTATTCCATCACTAACCACGCGCTATCTTCTAGCACTTTTTATTTTATATATCTATATATGACAGCCATAAAGCTACATATTCACCTTTTTCTTTATTTCGTTGAGCCAACTCAACACCAATATACATTTAGAGAAGGAGAATTCTTGTTATGGTCCATCTCTAGTTAAATAAACTTCAAACCGGGTCATCATCTTTAAGGTTATATATATATATATATATTGTCGCCAACTTTTAAAGAAAATAAGCATACTTCTCTCAATTCTTAATATAAGATAAAGTTAGAATAATTAATAATATATTTTTTTTGCAATTTTATCCCTTTGTTTATTTATTACCATTTGAATTTCCAAATAATAATTTATTATAGATATTAAATGTAAAGAATGGTAAAATAAGAAAACTGCATTTTTTTTATTATTTTAAGATTATAACTAACATTTTTTAATTTGTATGAAGTTAGTTAATTTTGTCTTATATGTTAAAGGCTGGAGTAGCATTTATTACTCTTGGCCTCGCTATTCAAGATTGAATTGCAATTTTTTTATTAATTTTAAATAACATTATAGTTCATCACAAGTTGTTGTTCAGATGCTTTTTGAATAAATTTAGAGTGTAAAGGTAAGGTGCCTGTTTATGTTACTACTTTTCCATAACTTTAATGCGTCGTTTTCAATGTTTTAGCATTAATAAGTGAAAATATTAATAAGAAAACCAAATTTCATGTCATATAAAATTATTGAAACTTTACTATTTTTGAATGCCTCTTTTTTCTTTTCTCTGCCATCCATGATCCAAGTTTCTCTCCCAACCTCCTTTCAGTCCCTCGTGATAATGACATTCCATGGTTTATCATGAGGACCAATGTGCCGGCAAGCGGCAATCATTATAACTTTGGTGTTCCCATATCATACAAACCTCATAAGACTCTTCAGCCATATATAGAATGGATAATATTATATATTATTATGTGCATATCATTTTAATAATTTTATATATTATTAACTTTTATGTGCATATTTTTTAAGGAGAAAAAAAATTAACTCTTGATTTTCTGCTGCCTGTGTTTTCTTCATATCTGCCCCCGACCCAACCTAACCGATTTGATAGAGTTGGGCGGAACCAAGAAAGCTGGGAAGCAAGTAGCTAGCATGAATATTATAGTTTTTTTTTTTAATCACGCGCATGTTTTTTTTATTAGAAACAATTATATTTAATTTACGGTTGAGCAATGTTTTTTTTTTTTTCAAGTACATAAATTCAAACCTCATCTCATCATGTTGTGGGAGATTAATTTTTTTTATTAAATTCAATCTAGCTGGTTGCTACATGAACACCATAGTTATTTGATATGGCGAATGAATTTTATTCCGAAAATATTGAATGCCTTAATACTTGGCGATAATAATACACATAAGATAAAGACTCTGAAGGGTATTTATTAGAGCTCAAGTCCGTGTTCGTAATTGCAAGGATCTGGATGAAAGTCACATGTTTGCTCTCATAAACAATCTGAATAGCAAGTGGCGATCTCTGCGGATTCTGCTTATTCGAATTCATTATATATACATATCGAAGCACACAGACACAACCAAAGTACTTCAATTCATAACACTCACATGTACCTATGGGCTGCATTTTTTCAAAGAAATATGAAATGAAGAAGGGATTCAAACCCTCGAGATCAGAAGACGCTCAAGCTTCTCATAAAACTCTGGAGCTTCAGCGACGCCATCGTTGGCAACCACGTCACTTTTATAAAACCGTAGGCGGCAGAATGGGAGGTGCTAGCGGCGGCGCCAGAGACGGCGACCTCATCCTCATGATGGGTGCTGTAGCTTCAGTCCAAATCAATTCTGGGATTGGTCATTCCCATCATGCTGGTGGTAATTGCGGCGGCGGCGGCGGAGCTTGTGGCGGCGGCGGAGCTTGTTGATGCGTTTGTTATTTGAATAATCGTTTAACAGGTTGATTAATATATATATATATATATATAGACAAATTTTGTAATTAAGATACGTCGTTGTTGAATTATGAAGCGATATGCTGGGTGATGCAAAGACATGAGCTGTGTTCCTCTCACCCATATACCTACAAGTCTGATGTATAATTTTTGCCCTTCAGAATTTTTCTGTGATTTTTAATTCATAAAAGTAATCATATAACAACAAAAGTTAATCATGAGTGGTGTGTATATATATATATATATAGCCAGACAAAGGTTGTCCAAAGCCTACTAGTGGTCAATGTTTAAATTGTAAAATCTTTGTTCATTATTATTTTCATCATCTAAAATAATTAATACAGAATTAGAAAATAATACTTAAATTTAATACTGCCAGGTACCTATTTGGAAACCATCTTTTG